CAAGCAGGAGACCTTATACTATTCTGGACAAATGGCTGTCCTTGAAAACCTCCAGTGATGGAACACTCACAACTTCCGATGTTTCTTTAAAGATCTTCCATTAATTACTTCTTGTTCTGCCCTCAAGTACTTTGGGGAATAGTACTTTCTCTGTGACATCCCTTCAAATACTAGAAGACTGCCATCGTAATCTTTAGTCCTTCTCTCATTAAACTAGACATATCAAGTTCTCTCAATTGTCCATTGTATTGACAATTAGCCTCCAATCCACTAATCATATTTGTTGCTTTTCTCTGCACGCTTTATAGGGTATCATCATCTTTTTTACATTGTGGTAACAGTGTAAAACAGGATCCAGTATTCCAAATGTTTCACCAGTGTAATATAAAGTACCGGTAGTACTATCACTTCACTTCACTATTGCTCTGTTGATGCAACCTAGGACTGCATTAGCTTTTTTGGCAGCTGCAGTACACTGCTGGCTCATACTTAAGTGGTGGTCTATTAGACACCTAGATCTCTCTACAGTTACTTCTGTTGATCCAAATACCTTACTTTTCTCATCTTTGAACTGCATCTTGTTGGATAGGGCCCAATGCTCAAATCTGTCAAGATTTTTCAGAATGTTAAGTCTATCATCTAAAGTGTTAGCTTTTCCCCCACCCCACCCCATATTGATGTTGTCTGCAAATGTGATGATTTCCCCTTCTATCCCCTCATCTAGATCATTTATGAAGACTACTGGGCCTAAGATGGAACCTTGAGGTACTCCACTGCATGCTTCCCTCCATGCAGATGACATTCCATTGAGGACAACATGCTGAATGCAGGTGGTCAACTGACTGCAAATTCATCTGGTGATGGTACTGTCTATTCCACATTGTTCTATTTTACCAAGAAGTAGGCTGTGGTCTACTTTGTCAAATGCTTTATTGAAGTCCCTTATTAAAGCTCTAAATGCTACTGATGAAAATACTTATAATTAAGAATGAAAGGTAACCTAGGGACAGGGGAAATTTATTGTGGCTGATTTGATGAGAGGAGATAAAAATCTTTCTGGAATGAAATGGAAAAATTACTGAGATGGGGGAAAAAAACCTCATTCAGCTCCTTATTTTAACATGAAACTGAAAGTGGATTAATTATTTCTGTTTTTGTTTTTCTCAAAAAGAATCCTTCTTCCCACATTCTTATGAAATAAAAGTACATTTTTTATGAAATGTAGGAAGCAGTTGCTTAGAAGTAAAGGTCCACTGGGGCAATATTCATTTCTTATGTGAGCCAAGCAGCCTAATCTTCTCCTTTGATCCTGTCTTGCATTTCCCCAGGCATTTATTTATGGAATGTCTTAATTACTATATGCTAACAACATTTTTGCCCACAAAAAATATTAATGCAATGGATTTCTATTCAAGATACCAGTTTCTCCAGCTGGCATGCAATATAAAATAAATGTGGCATTTTTTTTTTTTAATCATGACACTGGTTTGAAAGCTCAGTCAATACAATTTTCTGTCTCTGATTGAATGTTAAAAAACTAGTTCTACAAGTCTGTAGGCAACTGCATTGCAAACCAGCGAAAGACAATAGTCGGGGGATGACAACAGACCAGTGCAAACAAACGAACAAACAAAAATCACTAATATCTCCTAAGGGAGTTTTGGAATACTAGGCTGCCTTCGTGTAGTTGCATGGAAATCCTTGGCTGATAATTTAGTGTTTAATTTATAATATCATATTATGAAGCAAGATTTAGATTAAATATGAAACAGAGTAGAATTGTTGATGTCAAGAAAACTATAGTTTCCTTTTGTTAAAATCATTTTGCAGAAGGATTCCAAGTCTATCTACAGTCCCCTAGTTCGGATCTGGCCAAGAAATTGTTGGGTTGTGTTTTAACTTGTAAGACAAAGTTCATTCCCAGAAGGCTACATTATCAGAAATATAGGTCTTCAGAGAAAGCATGCTTCTTTCTGTTGTGGCCTGGGTCATGCTGTACTATTAAACTTGCACAAAAGTCTGGGCAGAATATGGTCCTCGCATTGGAACAAGAGTGAATAGTCTGAATGACATTTTACAGGGTTTGTAGTGTGTTCTCAATAGAATCTGCTTAATGAACTGAAGAAACGAAGAGATGCTGGGTAAATCTCCACGCCCTTCAGATGTTTCCAGATGTGCAAACTGAAAATAAGTGTTCTTATTAGAGCAGAGGAGAAAGACAGCAAAGTGAGAGACTGAAGTTAATGGAGATTAGTTAAAATACAGGATTCTTTTTCAAAGTCTGACTTTGTATGTGGTAGATAAATGCAAGGAATGGGTAACAATATTAGACTGTATTTTTACACATCTACATGTATCCTTGGAAATAGCCAGTGAGGCACCATGAATACGTTTCTTTACATGTGTAAATATTAATGGTTGGATTTTAAACTATTCAGTAACATCCACACATTATTATTGCAATCTTTAGTCAATGCCTTTTAACTTATGGTTTAATTAAGTGACTTTATTTTAACAAAGTCTTTAAAAATAACTGCTCAAACTTGATGTTTTGATATTTTACAATTAGTTTGCAACATCTTTCCCTTTTTTTTTTGGTTCTGCTTCTGTGATGCCTACCCTCCATCCTATCTGCTTCCCTGGGCACCAGTTCAATAATCTTCGAATTCCAATAATTCTGGAATTCACTTTTGAAAAAGTAAGAAAATGATACTTTGCAGTACTACTCATCTTAGATCAGCTGATTCATTTCTTGGAAATGTACCAGAGACAGGATTATCTTATTGTTATTAAGAGTAAAAACGTTCATTTCATTAGACAATTTGCCAAGATTAGCATCAGAAAATCCATAATCTTAAAATCAATGGACTTCTGGAAAGCAAATGAGCTATGATTTTCAGCCTTAAATGGGCTTCTACCACAACAAGGCCACTCTTTCTATGAGGGAGACAACCTCCAGCCAATGACATGATGTGTCCAAAACAAGCTGAAGGAGGATGACAACTATTAATTTGAAATGCTATTTGTGGCTTTCTTGAGAAAAAATTGTTGACACACTGTAATTGGCAGCTCACATTCTGTTTTTCCTGTTCTACTTGCTCTTTTAAGAAAGGGTTGGTGCCCCATAGTACAGTATCATTCCGATGAGACGCAGGGTGAGCCAACCAAACAAGACTACAAGTATCAGAATAATAGCTCTGGGGAAGTTTCACCATAGTTACTGTCCATCTGAAGTTTTAAATGCTTCACAGTACCGGCAGTTCCCAGTCGCTCTTTGGTTTCTGAGTGCACACTCTCTTCCATAAGCTCTATTACAATGCATAAGAACTATACAAAAAGAACTATTGTTTTTACAGAGCTTGGGAAGGAAACAATGCCAGAAATTATTGTGCCATAGTCATTGCAATACAGGTAGTTCTTAAGTTACTTTCATTCATTCAGAGATTGTTTGAAGTTACAATGGCATTGAAAGAAGGAACATATGACCAGTCCTCAAAATTCTGGCCATTACAGCATCCCTGCAGTCATTTGAACAAACTTTGGTGCTTGACAACCAGCTCACCCTTGCAATAATCCCAAGGTCATGTGATTGCTGTTGCCAACCTTCTTCACTGACTTCCCCCAAAGTCATTGGGAAAGCTGGCAGGAAAGGTCAGAGGTTGCTACAGTATATCTCCCCCCACAGGCCTTCCTTTGCTTGTATGAACCGCACTCTCTTTGCTTGCTTGCACCTATCAACATCATGCCACTGCTTCACTCACTTATTCACTCACTCACCCAACATCTACTTTCTCCAGCCTCCCTGAGCTCACAACACACACCATGTGCCCTTTTCCCGGCACACATGCCACATGCACCCCCACACCTTCTTTCCTTGGCCTCCCCAAGCTTATGTTTTGGCACCATCCCAACTCACATACCAAGCATCCTGAAGCCTCCCCCATCCCGTGACATTGCTGTGTTCCTTACCTGGAATTCCCTGTTCTTTCCATTTAAAGACTTGCGTGTCTTGAGATTATAACTGGGATAGTCTGGTTTGTTGTTGGTAAGCAATGTGATCACGTGATGTTGCACTTTCTAACCATATTGCTCAACGATGGCTAGCCCAGTCTCAAGTGCCATGGTAACTTAAGGAATACATTTACTCAGAGAATGTGGAATTCCTCCTTTAAAGTGTTTTTTGAAATCTTGGCAAAATTAGTGAGAAATGTAAGGAAATAGAAATGTTTTGGCAATTTGTGAAGTCTTAATGTAGTTAGGGTTTTCTATTTCTCCCATCAATGGCTTTTGAGCAAAGTCTTCCATTTATTAAGAATACTATCTAAACAGAGGACTCTGCTACAAAGCACAAAGACATGAAAATAATGATATGTGCATCATGTCATTACACAGGTCATACTTGTTCTCCCACACCTGATGCAAGTATATCAGTGATGTCACTTGCACAATGTCACCAGGCATGGTATAGTTTTCCCCCTTCTCCCTTATATACACATAAAAACTGATTTATTTTTTCCTATGCCTGGAATCTGAAGAGAGCAGAGAAATATGGTGGTAAGATAAGTAACTCTACCACCTTCTGCAAATCAACAGTCTCAAGTGACACATTTGTGGTGGATGAACTGATATGAAAATTAATAATTGTGCTGATTGTGTTAGTGTGAAGTGCTGCTTTGGGAAAGTGCAAATGCAAAGAGCACTGGGACCAAGTAACAATATAAATTACAGCTGGAGATTAGAAATAGTAGTAGTCACAAAACGGATAATGTTTGTAAAATAATATATAGTTATAATATTATGTGTGAAGGATTATATACAGAAATAAGGAATAAAGGGACTATAAAGACAAGTATAGTTAAAGAAGAGCAGGGGAAAAATGTAAATAATAGAAGAATACTGTTACGAAACTGTTGTAAAAGGGAAATATATGTTTTATGTTTGTGTTTGTCATGTTTTGTCTTCTAAAAAACAATAAAAAGATTTAATAAAAAACAACAATATAAATTACAGCTGTTTTTTATTTGTGTAGAAAAATTATAAAATAAATAAGTCATTAGAGTTGTGTGAATATATTAAATAAGATAAGAATCACATTTACAGAAATAGAACTCTATACTTACATATTTACATTAAAAAAATTTAAAAACTATGTTTATCTTACATACAAGCTATTGTCAACTAACATAAAGCTATGTAGATTATTCTGATATAAATCCAATTACATTTCATAGTTTACCTAAACATGTGCATAGAACTATAACTTGATTTAAAGGTGCCTCTTTGTGAAAACAATTTATATCTGTAGAGAAAAAACATTGAAGCTAATAATATTGCAAACTGAATTCAACATGCTTTATCTTGCTCTTTAACACTCTTTAAAGAAAAATCCCTGGAAGTTGATAGTACAGTAGTGTGTTCACGTTGATCTTTGTTTTTTTTAATAAATATTGTATCTCTGTTTTATATATATACAGTATATATATATATATATATATATATTTCTTTTAGCCAGGTTTTTCCTATGTAACCAAGGTTTTTCTACGTAGGAAAAACCTGGCTAAAAGAAAAACCCACATAAATCCTACGACGAAGTAAGTATATATATACACACACATACACATACACACACACACACACACACACACACATAGTTTCATTATTTGCTCTTATATGGTAGAAGATCTCAATTTTAGCAAAAGCTTGGCTCAGAGCAATACTTGTTCTTCCCAGAAAAAATGGGGGAGAAGCAGTTCTCACTAGTTAGTTAGTGTTTGTTCGTTATGAAATCTGGAATCTGATAGAATTTCTTAGTTGGAAAAGGTGTTATTAATGGCATAAGTTTTCATCAGCTGCAGTTCACTCAATCAAATGTACTGGTGTAGGATTTAATTCAGAGCTAAGTGGAGGGGGGCAGAGGGAAGAAGACCAGTTAGCTATACAGATGCTGGTTACATGTTAAATTACTAGTATATTGATATGGTAATAGATAAGAGCCAGGGGGAACAAGCATGAGAAACAACAACAACAACAACAACAATGCATTTGTTTAAAATAGTCTTTACATTAACAAAACCTCACAATTCTTATTGCTGAAATACTAGGTCATTCCCCCACCTTAAAACATTAAAGGGAAAACTGAACACTCTGGAATAGTTAGGTTGCAGATGTTAAGGACTAGACTAATCTCAGGAAACAAAGCCACCAACGAATAACTCTGTTGGTTGATAATTTTGCAAACTGATTGCATTTCCCCAAACACATGTTTTAAAACCAGAGCAGCAACTTGGAAGCTGCTCCAATTGCTTATGTATTTTCCAATGAGACAAAACTGCATTCAACACTGGCACTTCTTGCCTGGCACATTTTCATCGAGCAAGCGGGAATCCTCCAGATGACAAGGTTGGAGGCGTGGGAGAAACGAGGCACACCCTGTACCGTTTGTCCCGGTTAGGAGTCATTGAGCTCTTTAAGCAGCGTGAGAGACTTACTCAAAGCCAGCTCCATTTCTGCCTTTCACCTTCATGGGTGTGTGTGGAACACAGCAAAGAATACAATCACAAGTGCCTTTCAAATTCATGCTTTCTCACATACTCTCTCAATCAGTTCATCTCTGCCAAAGGTAACATGTGCAAAAACGAAGTATGTGGGGCAGCAGCCATTCGGTATTCTCCTACAACTGAGCAGCGCTGGCTGGTGTGCTGGCTCGGGTGTGAAACCAAAGCTGTTCATTCCTGCCTGTGCGGTCGCATGCTGGCTATTGCCCAGAAAAAAAGGATCACCCTCCTTGCAGCACACCTCGGGCTTGGTGGCAAATAAAGTTTCAGGTTAACTGCCTTGATTTCTTGATTTGGATTTTTCAGAGATGCCTCCATGAATTAGTATGTGCTTCAGCGACAGCTTCTTTTATTATCTGGAAGAGGCAAGCATGGCATTAGCAGATGGGACATTTGCTTTCTGGAAAGCTGAACAAAGGAGGCTGCTGCAGACACTACTAAACTTAGATTTTGTTTGGGAACAATTCAAAGATTTGAATTATAAAGATATTATATATACAAGGATTGCAGTGGTTGTTGTTGGAGGTTACCGAGTAACAACATAAATTTACAACAACTCAATTTTTTCCCTATATAAAATTATCAAATTATCAAGTCACTCAGCTGTACAAACATACTATATTCAATAGAAAGCACATTTACTTGGTCTGTTGTGTGGATGTTTGGGTGGTTTAGGGGGTGGAGAATTGTTTGGGTGGTTTAGGGGTGGAGAATTGTGGGGGTGGGAGGGTGTTTGGGGATTGTTATGTGTGTTGGACCTGGTCTTTGGGTGTTAAGTGAATTTCGTTGTATGGGTATACTGTGTATACATGTACACAGTGATTTAACAGTTATTTAACTGTTATTTATTTAACAATAAAATTATTTATTTATGATAATAGAATTTTCTGTGCTTACATATTGACAGGTAACAAAATATGGTATTTATCTTACACTTTCAGGTGTATGTTATTCTGAATATTTATCACAGTATTTATCTGAAAATATGCATCGAGCTATAATTTGAATTATGAAAGTGATTTATTTCTGAACTGATCTAATTTCTGGCCATCCAACTCAACCAAGAACCTTTTGCAAAAATTGTCAGAATTCCAACTGGCAGAACAGGCAATTCTTGGATGTAGTTATCAGTCAGGTAGGTAGAAAGTTGGGGTGTTTTTTAAGCCTCAGGAGAGTTGTATATTTGATGACTGACCAAGTATCTCTGCAATTATAGTGTCCCACTCTTCTACATTTCTTCTACATTTTTTTCAGGAAATGCTCTACATTACACATACAGCAAAGACCTATTCAAAAATGTGCAACACCTCTTATCAAGCTCATCTTCAAGAAGACGGAATTACTGATAGGGATCCTAGGGAAGTACAGTACAGGTAGTCCTCTACTTACAACAGTTTGCTTAGTGATAGCTGGTATAATTTGAAGTTATGGCACTGAAAAAAGTGATGTGATAGTTTTCCACACCTATGACCATTGCAGAACCCAGTCCCACAGTCACATAATCAAAATTCAGACACTGGCAACTGGCTCATATTTACGACGGTTGCCATGACCTGGGGTCATGTGATCCCCTTTTGTGAGCTTCTGAGCAGCAAAGCCAATGGGGAAGCCAACTTCACCTAACCACCATGTTAATAACTTAACAACTGCAGTGATTCATTTAAGAACTGTGGCAAGAAAGGTTGTAAAATGGGCAAAACTCACTTAACTACTGTCGCATTTAGCAACAGAAATTTTGGGTTCATTTGTGGTTGTAAGTCAAGGATTACCTATAATAAAAAGAGTATATTTCTATTTGTTTCAAATGTGAAATATGTCCTTGTTATTAAAAAAAACAAGTTGACACTAAAAGATAATGACTTTCTTAAATTGATTGGATGAGTTTTAAAAAGATTTCTGATACTAGTATATACTATAACACAAAGCCTCATAATATGGTAAGAGTATTGATAAAGAAAAAACAAATAGTTATAAACTTCTGGAGTTAGAAGAATAGCATAAGATATAGTTAAGAAAAATCCTTACCTTCATTTATTTATTTTTTTAGACATTACTACTGGGAATTCCATTTCTCCTTTCCTTTATTTCATTATAGTTAGTGCATTTTTTTCTTACCCTGAAGAATAAAAACATTCATCTCCATCACTTTGTGGAATTATTTTGCTTTTAATTTGTTCAAGCATAAGTACAAAATGACTTTAAATTATAGGCATGATACAGAAAAACTGTGGCATATCAGGTTCCTTGCCCCATTTAATTTTCTTCATTTGTGAGTAGCCAAACAGCCATGGCAGAAAGCTTTTGAATGAGCAAACTTCATCTAACCATGCAACTGCTGTTACTACAACAGTCTGTCAACATTTTAAAAGCGCTTCAAAGCCTAAAAATTTAGGGGCATCTATTTTGAATATTAAAAAGTTTGGCATGTTTAATAATCAAAAGATACAGTAGATCATTCTTTCTCTAAGAAACCCCCAAAAAACCAGACATTAAATTTGCAAGAATTAAAATAGAAAAAAGTTTCAGAACTTCTGCACAAATAGAATAGTATGTCCAGTTGAACAATGGGGGTGGGGGGCAGTTTTCTAACTATGGCCCTGTAATTTAGGTTTCAGATAATCAATAGGTCCTGAAAAAGCCTTGTAATGACACAACTCTATCACTTGAAAACATTTTTGTTCCAATATTTCAGAATTTTGGGACTTCAAGAAATTTACGGGAATGGAAGCATTTTATTTCTGCAGGACCTCACATCCCCATCCCCATCTTTAGCATTTTTACCTTAAAGTCAAACTTTGGACCAAAATTTGTTACTACACTCTTGGAAACTTGGAGTGGTGATGGGGACCTTCAGCAACACAGAAACAAAGCTTCCAACTATAATGACCAGTTTACATCGGAATCCAAGTCAAAATTATTTATTAAATGTTAAGATAGGCAATGTATTACATGCATAATATTGTCCCAAGGCGAGCATTTAGATGATGATTACTATTATTATTATTATTATTATTATGGATAAGCAACTCTATTTAAGGAATTCAGGACAAGGATAGGGTGGAGACTGCTGCGTGAACCACAAATTGCTATAACATAGGCTACAGTTTAAGCAAAATATTAATACAAAGGATTGAGAAAAGTAGACGGCTGGTGAAAGGAAGTGTTACAGGTTCAGTGCAGAATAGTTCTGGCCTTAGGATGAGAATTGTGCAGGAGTAGAAATGAGAGGGACCAAATCTTTGCCATTGCAATTGTCACCAGATGAATGTTTAATTGAAGTGGAGATTTAATCTGTGACCTATAGGTTGCAAGTATCATTGTGTGTGTCTGTGTGTACAAATAGACAAACATACAGTGCTCATAGTTCTGCACTGTGGAAAATTAGTTTATATGGTCCTTGATATGAAATCTACATGACCTCACAGGAAGTAGAGGTTATTTAGACTTTACATAATGGTGAGATAGAGAACCTGGCCGATGTGCTGTTAAATTCAACAGCAGCAGATAGCAGCTAAAACATTATTTCTCAGGAGTGAAACTTAAAGCAATAAGCATCATATTTGCTAATGGTCCCAAACATGAAGCTCAATTAAATAAAGTTAAATAGTGCTGAAATTTCACTTTTATCCTGCCATTGAATTCTATTACACGACTATTTTTCCACAGCAAAACACAACACCCAAAAACAACAGCCTTAATTTGTTAATTATTTGAAAACCGTACTTGGCAATAGTTAGAAGTCACCAATCTACCATTTATTGTACCTCAATTAGCCTTGACTGATACATTTACTTCATAGGACTAGATCCAAACTGAGTCATAGCTAGAGTAAACACTCTGAAATAATTAAATTTAAATGTTAAGTTTCATCAATTTCAAGCTTAATATATCTCATAAAATCAAAAGGACACATTAGTTGTTTCCATTGCTCATTTTTTACAGACGTAATGAGATCATCACCTGTCAAATATAGTTTAATCACCAAGATTATGGTATGTTGAATTTTAATGTGTCCATACTGGTCTGTCCGCTTACACTATTCATTATTTTATGATGTTCTAAATGGCTCTCAGAGGTAAATTGAGGTAAATACTGCTCTACAAAATTGGCCCAATGTATTATTCCATATAATTAAAGTTAAGGATAGAGAAATACAAATGAATTCAGTTTCACATTTGCCAATTTACATTTTTGTATCCTATTTCTGAGTCAACCTCTATATACTTTGATGTATGTTTTCTCTAAAATACTATTTTTTGTGAAAGGTTTCTTAATATATATATTATAGCATATACTTTTCACTTGAGTGCACTGTAATATTCACAAAATGGAGTCACCAGTGTATGAATATAGTCACAATATTTCATAAATGTATAAATAGAAAGTATCAACTAGCATTAAAATAAGAAGCAAATTTCGTTTTTATTCTGGGGCACCATAAATCCTAATTCTGGCAAGCAATTTTACAAAACTTTATTATTCTGTTGCTAAAAACATTGTTGAGTATATTAAGTATCACAGATATCTATCAGTCTTTTTTGCCACTATTTTATTGTACTTTTCTTGGTTTACTAGGGGATTTAAATAACTTAACTTACTGTTCAGTGATGACAATTATAATGATGGCAAAACTGATCATCGCAAAGAAAATTGATACTATCACAACTTCTATTTTTAAGACACTTGTTTCATCATTGGTTCTTTTTGTCTTCAAAAACTGTTCCACGCAACGTTCACCAAAGTAATCTGGGTGGCATCTGAAAGCAAAAATGCACAATTAGAATAGCATCTCTGCTATTCAAAACATATATAGAACACTGAAATAATGTTCAAAGTATCTTTAGGTACATCCACTGTATTCTGCTGCTTAATTCCCTCTGTGTTCATTTCAAATTCAAACAATAGTTTGAATTCTTGATAATTTGGGTGGAAAGCACCAGAAAAGGCAACTTCATTTTCATATGAGGCCATAATGCAACAACTCTACACTCTTTTATATATATATAGTAGGACATTTTAGTTGAATCAGGGATACAGGTAGTCCTTGACTTATAACTGGCCACTTAATGGACATTTGAAATTATGATGGGCCCAGAGTAAGAGTTTTATAGCCACTTTAAGCCATTGTAAAATGTCATCACACACACACACACACACACACACACACACACACACACTTGCATTTTGAGTGTTTGGCAACTGGTTTGCCTTTACAAACCATTGCAGCATTGCATGATTACCAGTATGTGACTATGATTTGTAACTTTGTTTCTAGTTTCTGGAAACAATGTCCATTCTGAAGAATACGTTTGCACTTATGACCATGATGTTCACTCACTGATTATGGATTCACTTAATGACTACAGTGATTTGTTTAACAATCACTGCAAAAACATCACAAAATCAGGTCCAGTCATGTTGGTGCATCGGCTTACAACCGTAATGACTTATGACTGGAAATCCTGTCCCAATTGCGGTCGTAAGCCGAGGACTACCTGTAATAATGTAACAAAAGGAACATTTCAGCCTACAGAATAGTGCATGAAGCACAGATGTCAGCCATTTGTCTGAGCAAAGATAAATGAATCTCCAGATTTGATTGCAGCTCAGTGATAAACTTCATTTGTTGCACAGTCATAAACCATAGATTATAGCCACAAATGCCTGCTGCACCTATCAAACACCAACCAAAAAAATTATACCTTATGAATTCTATCCAGATTAATGGAAGATATATGCATACAGGCAATATAATGGCCAGGGCCAGGACCACTATATTAATTTTTTCTTATGCTTCCAGAACACTGCTAGGTAGAGAATTAATATTTTTTTGCAGATCCATATATTCTGTTTCATCACTGTATTAATAACTCTGTGAGAGAATAATACTTTGAAATGCCATGTATGGCAACATATTAGCTATCAAAATAGAGATACTAACAATTTTATCAACGTTTCTAATTTAACTTACGTGCAAACAGGTATTAGAAACTGTTCAATGTATCTGCATTCACCATGAACACAAAAACCTTTATATTTTCCTTCGCATGGAGTTTTAGTTTTCCTTTTAGTTTTCTTCTCGTTTCCTTTTCTTTTGGGTTTGTTAGGGTTCTTTTTTCCACCATCTAAATTTGCTGGATTCTTAATGGGTGGTTTCTCTGGAAAACAAGTATTAATTATATTTAATTTCTGCAGAGAGACAGTTTGCTGTTGTGATCAAAATGCTAAGAACTAAGAGTTCTTCTAAAACTCTAAGAAAAGAGGGACTAGTTTATAGCAATCTTTAGGCACAGAAACACCTGAGTGACCTTGAGCCTTTCCGCCCAAAGGAGCAGAAATCTGGCTGAAAAACAAAACCCTTGTTGCAAAAACACACCGATAGCTTCACTGTAAAAACTAGGTGTGCAAAAACAAGTGGATCTTGCATGAGGGAAACACACTAAGAAAAAAAAAACAACCTACATTGGCATATAACTGCAGCGAGTTCACTGGAAGTCTTTGACTCTAATCAAACTAGCCTTATTATATAGGTAACACAAAGAAAAGGACTTTGATTGGCTGAGATATGGAAGAAAGATTTTAATTTAAGATTCCTGTTGTTCTAATCAGAATACTATTTTGATTGCAAGTACAATTATGAAGTGAAGAGATGTCATAATGGCGACCAAGCATATATACACAAGAAATTTACAATGGCTATGTTCACCTGAAGTGGCTATTTGTCATGGAAATCCTAAATTTTAGTCGACTCTGGGATTTACTTTAAACAGGTTTATATTAATTAGCCATTAATGAACCATTAACCCCTTTATTTTATGCAAACACTGTAACCTAGTAAAGGTAGTTGTCCACCCTCATCTACAAAGTCACAACTTGAAGCTCCTCTACGACGTTTATCTTAAATCTAGTGAGTCACTGTGATTGGGGATGGCAATCTCCCCAGGGTGAAATCTACTTACCTTCAGAAGTGCACGCACTGCACACGTGCACTCTCTCCACTCGCATGCGTGCATCACATGCACAGACCCTCAGTGCATGCACAAACCCTTCTGCGCATAGGCAGAGAGTAAAAAACAGATTACTTCCTTGTTAAAACCAGGAAATAACGATGACCGGGTGGGTGGGCGGAGCCTCATGCCACTGTTGCTACCGGTTCTCTGAATTACCTGCCGCCATCACTACTGGTTCAGCCAAACTGGTCCAAACCAGTAGCGTTTCATCCCTGAATCTCCCCATCTTATTGGTTTTCTTCCTCATGATCCTGGAGCAGGATCAGCAATGACAATGGTTTGTGCAAAGCTCACAGAATAGCAGGAATTTCCAGAAGAAAACGAATGTGGATTTGCATTACCAAAATGATTTCTGATGTATGAAGACATATTAACTGGGTTAAGCATATTGTGCAACTACAGCTAATACGTTTGTGCCAGCATCTCTAGTGCAACAAGAAAACAACATGCAGTTTTCTACATACTAAAGTCAATTTGCTATTCTAGGCAGTGAAATCTTCTGGTGCAGAGAGATCATGTCCCCATATTTAGAAGCAAGGGCTAGCTACATATCTGAACAAAAATAAGAAGAATTCATTGATGATCTTGATAAAAGTAAATATTTATGTAAAGTTTTGGTTTGATGCAATTATTTTACATTTTAAGAATTTCAAAATCAGTAAAGAGAAACAGGGTTTTTAATAACTTCTGCCTTTCTAAATGCAATTAAAGAAAAGTCAGTGTGCAAAACATTTTAATGTAATCAGTCTTTTCTTATTTCTCCCTGCAATATAGTCAAAACTAATAATATAAACATTACTGCTCAGCAAAAGATAAATTAAATAAAGTTCTCTTAGAAGTTTAACAATTCTAATGAGGTGTGGTAATATGGTTAACCCCAAAGATATTTGCATTTCAGAGGGGTTTAAAAGATCAGAGTAGATAATTATGTGGTTTTAGACAGGGTTTCACAAGGATCTGCCAATTCAAAAATGCATATTGTGGGATTGAGAGTATGATTTGCAATGGATTTCTCATTTCTAATCAGCATAAAACAGTCTGAATGAATTATTCGTCTCTCCCTGATATGACTCCATTTACAGGTAGGATATAGTCAATTTTCTAGCTCAAAGGTGATTTGAAACCCTAATGAAACAAATTCTGTTTTTTTGTTTAAGAGCCTTTAACTTCAAAGCTTTATGGCCAACTCACATTCACATGCAGCAGAAACCTAGCATTTAGATGATTTTTTGTTATTATATATTGATACCACATGCAAACTTTTTTCTTCCTATTTGGCATTTCCCATCAGCAGGAAAGGTTAAACCAACAAAGTCTTACCACAAGGGACAAGCAATCTGGGGGCCTCCTGATATTTTGGACTGGAAATCTCAAGAGGCCCCCATGGCCAATGGCAACCTGGGGACATCAGGTTGTCTCCTCTAGCTTATCATGTAGCCAGAACAGGTTCTCATGTTTTATTATGGACATGCAACCCTTGTCTTGGAATAGGAATATTGAGTCAGAAACCTTAGTGAGTTTTTACCTCGGTTATTTTAATACCACATCTAATACCCTCAAGATGTATTAAATTATAACTCCAGTGTAACTACTGGGGAATGATGGGAACTTGCTGTTACTCCATCTGGAGGGCATATAGCAGAGAAGGCTGATTTAGCCCTTTTTGTAATAGAAACACTTAAACAAGAGTAAAAGAGTTAGGAACTCATGAATGATACACCAGAATTCTCCCTCACTACATATGAGCATAATCACAAAGTTGTAGGCCAGAATCCATTTTCCCCAAGTGATCCAAGCTAAAATGGAATTATTTTTTTTCTGTTTTATCTTCATAGCAGCCCTTTATGTTATATCAGACTGAGAGAGCATGATTGGTCCAATATGTGTCAGAAATGTATTCGGTGGAGGAGGCATTTTCTTATTTGCAGTTTGTCAGGATCAGGTCTAGCAACCCAAGAGCTTCCTTCTGACCATTCAGCCTCTGCTTATTATGCTCTAGCCTAGCCCAAAAACCTAAATCTTGCCAAATCTTGTTCTAGAAAAGAATTTTCACATCAACGAAGTCTGAAAACACCATAACTCCTTATAACCTCTTTCTGGGAAGGCAGTCAACTTACCTGTGATCAGATGTACATGTTGGGAAGTTATCCTTGAGTTATCCTGGTTTGCTTAATTGCTATCCAGAGGAATAAACATTAATATATAACAGGCCAGTAAGCACTATATCTGATTAGCAAAAGTATTGCATACTTCATATATAGAGTTAGGGCTAAGTGATGCATTAAATGAATATTGAGAAAAGGCCATGAGACAAACTAGAAAATTCAAGCATCAAACAGCAAGGGTTAAATACAACTTTCTATTAAGCATACAATTCCACTATGTAATTTTACTTAAGCCTGATTAATTTCAATTAAGTACAAAGAAATTTGCATGCATATTCTGCATTAATAGCACCTTTGCCAACACATTTATAATTTCTGAAGCCTCCAACTAAATCTACTTACTCTGCAATTTGATTTAACTGTTTAATTCAGTAACCATATTCAAGCAAACATATCTCAATTTAAAGAGACATTTAGCTCCTTCTTTTACTTAAATAATTGAACATCATAGAAACATCTGTCTTTAAGTAAGTAGAGCTTCCCAATGGGACTGAACTGAGGAACTACAGGAATTGTTTCTAAGTAAGCCCAAATATTAGCTAATCAGATAAAATTGACTTTTGCATAAAAAGAACTTCCAAAATATTTAGTTCTGACATTTTTAAAATTTATAATCCAGATTAGTTGCCCTACAGAAACCTTTATATATTGTGTAGCAAGTAGAATGGATCATAAAACAACATGCTGAATATTATTTTGAAATAGCAGGGTCTTGCAATCTCAGCAATTGGGTTTATGCCATGCAATTAAAATAACAAAACTAAAGGTGGAGTGATCAGATTTAAGTTCTGAGCTACTTGGATACTACTTGGTGGCATTTGTATCTCTTGTCCTAAGTACTGTATGGATTAACCTGATAAGAAATTCCCATATATGCCATTGTGATCTCTTAGAAGAAAAGCAGTATATATACTTGTAATAAAATATAAATAATATAATTTGTCATTCTAAAATAAATGAACATTATAGGAATGATACTAATTCCTTATTAGAACTTTATTCTACACGAATAAGATAATTAAGCTAACCTATTCAACAAAAGGGACACGGTGGCTCAGTGGCTAAAATGCTGAGCTTGTTGATCGAAAGGTGGGCAGTTCAGCAGTTCAAATCCTTAGTTCCCCCCTAATGGGGTGAGCTCTTGTTACTTGTCCCAGATTCTGCCAACCTAGCAGTTTGAAAGCACGTAAAAAATGCAAGTAGAAAATAGAGACCACCTTTGGTGGGAAGGTAACAGTGTTCCGTGCACCTTTGTCATCCAGTCATGCCGGCCACATGTCCATAGAGATGACTTCGGACAGTGCTGGCTCTTTAGCTTTGAAATGGAGATGAGCACCACCCCCTAGAGTCGGGAACGGCTAGCATATATGTGTGAAGGGAACCTTTATCTTTACCTATTCAACAAAAATCTTTACTTGAGTTAATTTCCATGGTTAAAAAAGTGCACTGCAAATATTTATTTATTTATTTATACTTCGTATTTTTTAATTGCAAATCTCCCTCGGAGAAGGATTCTGGGTGGTGTACAATATGATCAATAAAGTTAAACATTGAAGTCAGAATAATTTAGGATTAAAGATTTTAAAATTATAAACACATTATAAAAATTTCAGAATGTGAAGAATTCCAAGATGGCGGATTAACAGTTGTTAATACAGGTGTTGTGGGGGAGAGAGAGGTGGGTTCTCATGGGGCCAGCCAACCCCATGTGGGCCTTGTGCCATCCCTCATGCAAGGCTACACAGCCACATTTTGACCCCTTTATGTTATGATAATTAAGATTCATTAGTTTTTCTCTTGCATTTTGTCTGACAAATACTTATTGGCAACATTAATATTTTTATCCATAGCTGCTTAGGCTAGAGATGTACATTAATCCTAAAGAATTCTGAGAGTTCTCACTGTCTTTTCCTCTGTCCATATTCACGGATATCCTAAGCATGACTGAGGAATAATAATGATGCTTATGGCACTCACCCAGTGAATGCACAGCAAATAACATAGCGAACCATGGTCATCTATGGTTTGCCACTTCCTTCCTTTTTTGGTTGATATCTCAAAAATCTTGGTGCTAATTGATACTTCCTGTTCCTTTTGTAGTATTTGTGATCAACACTGAACATCTGTGAATAGAATAGGGGTAAAGCTAATGTTTCCCCTTGTTACTAAAGCAGAGGTAAAAAATAAAGATAAAGTAGTTGGAAATGCTCCTCCAGGACCAGCTCAGCTAAGACTATTGTAGCACAACCAACATAAATATGCAATTAATAACTCAAATGATTTATAAGAAAGATACTCAATTTCATTCAATTAGAAAAGAAAAATATTTATGAACCAAATACTTTGGAAGTTCAATACATTGTGTCAGCAAATATGAGTATATATTAATGACACTACATTATATTCATTTCCCAAGAAATAATATTTAATTGAATTTCTGATTTTCTAAATTCTGATAAACTTATCCCATCTGATTTTAATATCTAAATCCTAATATTCTAATCAAAATTTTGCGATTCATATTAAGTATCCATCAATAGGTTACAGATACTTTTTAAGAGAAAATACACCTAAAATGTCAATTTCATTATGAATATCAATTATTTCTTAGTATTGCAAATGAACGCCCAAAGGAAGTAGAATGGAATGGCTGATACTAAACTAAAATCAAAAATCATATAAATAAAAAAAAGAGTTAATTCCCTCTAATATTTATTTATTTATTTATTTATTTATTTATTTATTTATTTATTCAATTCAATTCAATTCAATTCAATTTATATACCGCCCTTCTCCTAGTGGACTCAGGGCAGTGCACAGCCAGAACTAAAATACATAACAATACAAAATTTAAAATTAATTAAAAGAATTATATACTTTGGCCCGAATTAAAACAATGCGAATTAAAACCCATTAACAGATTAAAACTAAAGAATTAAAAACAATTAAAAACTAAAAAAGTAAAAAAGGGGGCGGGGTTTATGCCAGCCCTGCTTGCTGGAAAAGAAGAGTTTTCAGGGCACGGCGAAAGACCCGGAGATCCAATATCCTTCTTATCTCCGGGGGCAAATCATTCCAGAGGGCGGGAGCTGCCACAGAGAAGGCCCTCCCCCTGGGGGTCGCCAGCCGACATTGCCTGGCCGACGGCACCCTGAGGAGTCCCTCTCTGTGGGAGCGTACTGGTTGGTGGGAGGCTATCGGCGGCAGAAGGCGGTCCCGTAAATATCCAGGTCCTATGCCATGGAGCGCTTTAAAGGTGGTAACCAACACCTTGAAGCGCACCCGGAAGACCACTGGAAGCCAATGCAGCTCACACAGGAGAGCTATTATATTATATTATATTATATTATATTATATTATATTATATTATATTATATTATATTATATTATATTATATTATATTATATTATTATATTATATTATATTATATTATATTATATTATAAATAAATATAATATTTTATATATTATATTAGAGGAAATAAATTCAAGTTTTATTTGACCATGTCACAAAATTAAAGTTATTTTTATTGACATATTTTATTTGTTTGTTAAATTTATTTGGGACCCATCTCACTGTGGAGCTACTCTGGACAACTTACAAGAATAAAATGGAAGAAATGATAAAAATGTAAACATGACAATAGTAAAGCAATGAAACAATACAAATAAACAAAGTACAACAATGTCAATTAAAAGATGGTCTGGGGGGCAAGAAGTACAAAGGGGTCAGCTAATTAGTCCGGTAGCCATCTCCAGTGTGGTTCTCCCCCATAGGGTCCCCATACCAACTGGCAGAGCCATGTCTTCAGGTCCTTTCAGAAGGACAGAAAGACGGGGGCAGACCTCAAGGGGGGGGCGGGAATTAGAATGTTCGACAGGATTAGCATTACAGCAGAGAAGGCTCCTTTATATACTTTATGCACCTCTTTATTATGCTGGCAGATGCTTATCTCTTTTTATCTTGGATACAGATACACATGGTGGCACAGTGGTTAGAATGCAGCATTGCAGGCTAATTCTGCTGACTGCCAGAGTTCGATTCTCACCAGCTCAAGGCTGACTCAGCCTTCCATCCTTCCGCGGTCAGTAAAACGAGGACCCAGATTGTTGGGGGAAATATGCTGATTCTGTAAACCACTTAGAGAGGACTGTAAAAGCACTATGAAGCAGTAGTATATAAATCTAAGTGCTATGGCTAGTGCTATTCTGATTTTGAAGAATCAGAATAAACAGTATAGTAATATTAAGAGAAAAGGCCTTGTTTTATGCCTTCACATTTCCATTCATGCCAACACATATTACATGGGGGTTTGGACAAAGTATGTTTATAACGCAGGTTGAATGATATAGCACAATATAGACTATTTAAAAACAGAAGAATTTCTTATATTTCATTTCAGTATTCCACTGAGGGGTGGTTGTTTTTTTTTAAGATTTAATTTTAAGGGCAATAGTAAAATCCATTAATTTTTTCGTCCGTAAATAAGCTTCATTTTTGCAAAAAGGGATTTTTATACAGTGATAAACTGAAACTTACACGGTGCACATTTTACTATTTGTAAAAAAAAAAAAAATTCTGGGATTTTTAGCTTCACCAAAGTTTCTTGAAAAACATATTTTGACAGAGCTCCTTGAAAGACATACTTAGTACCAAGCATTAAAGTTCCCAGGATACCTTGAGAGAAACGGATTGGTTGTGACATTAGCTTAACTTTATATTGTAGAGGTATGGTTGGGTTTCAGAAGATAATTTCACCTTTGCATCCAAAATGTACTTCTTTCATACTAGAGTGAAGTCCTTCCCAATGATATGCTATAGATATCTATATGCTATATGCTAAGTATATGCTATAGAATACTTCAAATTCTTGGAAAGTGCTACACAATCATTCAGACTATTAATATTATGATAATTGTTTAACAACAAGCATGTGACTATTGATTTATTTGGAAAGAAAAAAAGAAAGCATTGTTCATAAAGACTCCATAGAGCATATACTGTATAAGTCTATTGAATACAATACCTTCTTAGACATATTCATTTTCTGGGATCCTTGGCGCTCTCTGAGCTTGGTTGCTTTCTTTCAGATATTTCATTACCAAACTAGGTAACATCATCAGTGCTCTGAGGAGCATGACGTGCTCTGAGTTACCTAGTTTGGTAATGAAACGTCTTCAAGGAAACCACAAAGTTCAGAGAGCATCAAGGACTCTACTGTTCAACCTTGAGCTATAAATATTCTCTTCTATGATACATAAATTTTTATCTGGCTAAAGTCTTTAGATCGCATGGATAAAAATAAAGGAAGATTAGGGTTCTACAATGCTTAGAGTATATTCTAAGAAAGCCCCTGTCTTGTTAGGAGCGACAAAGCAACAGCTCTTTGGAAAAATTGCATCATTATACCAGCCTCCTCTCAGGTGCCTCGGTTCCAAATGAGAGGAACATCATGGGCAAGCACTCCATAGTTTAACCTACCTCTTCCTGCATCATTCACAAGGAACTGAGATTCTCTCACTTCCTTCACATTATCCTCAGCCTCTTCAGCCTCAACTCCTGATGATAACCGATCAGTGGAAGATACGTTGAATGTGTTCGAGTTGGGCATGTTTTGCTCATCTTTTGTCACGCTTAGCTCTGATCCAGTAGCATGCTGGTAAACTGTGGAAGAGAAATGAAAGAAATGGATACCATTCTTACTAGTCAGGCAAAATTGGCAGAGAGGTGTTTATCTGAAAATTACACTTGGCAGCTGTTGCACATGTAGTTACCCTTATTCCCATAGTGAGTCATTCAAAAAACAGCTCTCAGTTTTTCTAATGTGAATTTGTTTAGATTGCCCCAGAATTTGTCTGGCCAACTTCCAAGTTATTGCATTCCATTAACCAGAATCTTAGCAAGTGTTCTTTAAGAAATATTGATCTCTTACAGTGTGTACAAGCCACTACACAATGGATTTTGATCAAACAACTGACAAAGAAAAATACCCAGTCACTCTGATTTAAAGTTCGCAACATGTTTTCTCCTTTTCTAAAATCATAAGCAGTTATTCAATATTCCTCTAACAAAGGAATTACCATTTTAAACCTGAAGACTAAGAATCACTTTGAATTAAGCTCCATTCAGCATTGTGGGGTGTAAACAATGCTTCTCAATTCAACTCCTGCTTCAGACAATTTGCTCTCATCACCCTGACCCCTCTAAAATAGTGGAAAATAATGAATGCCTCCTTTTGTGATTTAATTAAACAAGAAGCATCCACAGCAAAAATATTGTCAAGACCTACAAGAATACAAGGAAGCTTAGGCAGGCTCCAATCAAGAGAAAGCTGAGTTGTAACTCTGCACTCAACAAAAAGATCTCCAATTTTGTGACTTAGCCAAGCTGTTCTTAGCAGGGTTCTTGTACGGTAAGGAGAGAAAAAGGAAATCCGAAGGTATAGCAACGTGATTTTGAGGATGGTTTCAATGAGGCTCCCATCACATATACACTACTTTCAAATACCCAAAACGACAAAGTCAAACTGAAAAGTGGGAAAGAGAGAAGGAGCTGGCGGGAAACGCAGAAAGTACCCCCGCCACTGCGCCTCAGCCTTTCAGGCGCCTCCTATTTCCAAACAGCAGTGTAATTCCAGCATAACTTTCAAAAAAAAACGAGGAAAACGGGGAAAACGGGGCACAATTCAGAAAATTGCAGCGAGCAACGACCCTAAATGCCAGCAACGCACCACTCTCCAAATTCCCAGGTCGACGAAGTTTCGCGCCCCCTCTGCCCCGCCTCTCGACAGGGTCCATCGCTCGCCCGCCCACTCACCTGAACTCTGGAGCAGCGGGAGGAGGAGGAGAAAGAGTGCGGCACGCATTGGAGGGGAAAGGAGCGTCCTCGGGGACGGTTTGCCTATTAAAGAGTGAGCGAAAAGCGCGTTGAAGCGGTTGAGGAGGACTCCCTTCGTGCCTGGAGAGAGCTATGCTCGGAGCGGCGGCAAGACACTCCATACCCATCGAGCGAGGGATATATATGCAGTGCCGCCGCCACCACTGAGAGGCCGGCAGTCAGGCAGGGCGGTCAGATGAAGCTCGACGTCAGCCGGGTGGGGAAGGGAACAGGTGCGCCTCAGGTTGGGAGACATCACCCAGTTGCGTGTAGCGCAAAGAGCAAACAGGTCGCGGAGGCGGATCGGCAGCGGCATGATAGAAAGCCGTCGGATGAGTCAGCTAGGGTCACGCTCTTTACTTGTAGTCCCCAATGGCTGTAGACGTCTCCTCAGGTATATAGATACGGAAGATCGACTAGTTGAGAGCCAGGTTTTGTCACCTAGGATGGTCGGATTGTGTGCCTCTAGTTGCCCCAAAGGGAGCTGAAGGATAAAGCTCTCCAGTAGCCCTTTCATGTTCAGAATGGACTGTATGGGATTTGGGGAGGTTCCAGCCACATTTTCCTTTTCAGGTGTTTTCTCTCTAGCATAATGGAAGCTGTTTTCAAACATGGCAACCTTAAGATGCATAGACTTCACCTCCCAGAATTCCCCAGGCAGCATGCAGCCCTGCAACTGAAGAAGCCATTGAAATGATTAAAAAAAGTGGAAGGAAGAGATTTCCCATCTTCACATTATTTCCTTGTGGGAGGCAGCTGCGCAGCAGCATTAGCATTTAGCATTTAGCTAAATAGCAATAGCATTTAGACTTATATACTGCTTCACAGTGCTTTACAGCCCTCTCTAAGCAGTTTACAGAGTCAGCATATTGCCCACAACAATCTGGGTCCTCATTTTACCCACCTCGGAAGGATGGAAGGCTGAGTCAACCTTCAACCTGGTGAGATTCGAACTTGCCAAATTGCAGCTAGCTGGCAGTTAGTAGAAGTAGCCTGCAATACTGCATTCTAACCAGTACACCGCAGCTCTTAGTTGAGGATCACACCGCACATTTCATCATCCTCTACATACTAGCATAGGCTATGTTCTGAGTTGCATCTAACCATGGTACAAATATTACTTAGTAACATCATTGGCTGCCTTGTCAGGACATTGCCCTCATCTCTCCAGTCTATGAATGAGACAGGCTTCAATAACCTTTACCTGGCCCAAGGATAGCCACAAGAGAGAGTCAAAAATGGCCTAATTGCAGTTTGATTCTAAATCAGTTTGATTTTTGTGCCTCCCCATTAGGCTATCCCTTGCTGCAATATTAAAGTAAAACTTTCCCCATATTATGACACTATCCAAAGGCAGCATGAAGGTGCATAAAATGTATCAGGTTTTGTCATATGTGAGCTTGAGAAATGTCTGGGCACTATAGCTCCTGGAAAGAGGCAACTGAGACTAAATAAGAATTGGCAGCAAATTTCATTGTGGTATATTTGCGATCCTGACAGGCTCAAGGTTGGCTCAGCCTTCCATTGACACATACACATCTCGCAAAAAATGGCTCTGAAGTTGGATGCAATTGCCTAAATACAGTGCATTTAGAATTTCAGAAAGTATTCAAAAAATTCACTTTTGTCAATTTTGTTATGCTGCAGCCTGATTCTACAGTTGTTGAAATTCAATTGTTTCTCATTAATGTACATTCAGTACATTCTCATTAATGTACATTTCACTTTGTGAAACACTTTCTGTTTCACAAAGTGAAAACAGAATTTTAGAAATGTCTGGTAAAATTATTAAAAATAAAAAACTGAAATATCACATTGGCATAAGTATTCAGACCCTTCACTCATTACTTTGTTGAAGGACCTTTGGCAGCAATTACAGCCTTGAGTCTATTTAGGTATGACACAACAAGCTTTGCACACATGGATTGGGGGATTTCTGCCATTCTTCCTTGCAAATCCTCTCAAGCTCAGTCAGATTGGATGGTGACTGTTGGTGGACAGTCATTTTCAGGTCCCTCCAGAGATGTTCAATAGGGTTCAAGTAAGGGCTCTGGCTAGGCCACTCTAGAACATTCACAGAAGTGTCCCTAAGCCACTCCTGTGTTGACTTGGCGGTGTGCTTAGAATTGCTGTCATGTTGGAAAGTAAACCACTCTCCCAGTTCCTGCTGCTCAAAAACACCCTCACAGCATGATGCTGCCACCACCATGCTTCACTGTTGGGATGATATTGGGCAGGTGATGAGCAGTGCCTGGTTTCCTCCAGACATAACACTTAGAATTGAAGCCAAACGGTTCAATCTTTGTTTCATCAGACCAGAGAATCTTGTTCCTCACAGTCTAAGAGTCCTTCAGGTGCTTTTTTGCGAACTCCAAGCAGGCTTTCATGTGTTATGCATTGAGGAGAAGGTTCTGTCTAGCCACTCTGGCATAAAGCCCAGATTGGTGGAGGGCTGCAGTGATGGTTGTCCTTCTAGAACTCTGTCTCATCTCCACATAGGATCTCTGGAGCTCAGCCAGAGTGAGCATCAGATTCTGGATTACCTCTCCTACTAAGGCCCTTCTCCAGTAGTGGTTTTCACTTACCTTCGCTACCGGTTCAGAACTGTGAGCGCTCATGCGTGGCACTTCTGCACATGCGCAGAGCATCCATGATGATGTCTGGGCGGGTGGGTGGAGCCTCTGCCCTTCTCCCCCAATTGCTCAGTTTGACCGGGTGACCAGCTCTTGGAAGAGTCCTGGTTGTGGCAAACTTCTTCCATTTGAGAATTATGGAGGTCACTGTGCTCTTAGGAAGCTTCAGTGCAGCAGAAATTTTATTGGAGCCTTCCCTAGATCTGTGCCTTGCAATAATCCTATTTCTGAGGTTTGCAGGCAGTGTTTATCATGTTTGAGGCCTTACATAAATCATTAAATCATGTCCAATTAATTTAATTTACCACATGTCAACTCCAATCAAGGTGTAGAAACATGTCATCAACAATTAAGAGAAATAGGAGGCACCTGTGCTAAATTTCAATTGTTGTTGCAAAGTGTCTGAATATTTAACCAATGTGATATTTCAGTTTTTTAAAAAAATAAATTTACAAACATTTTTAAAATTCTGTTTTCGCTTTGTCATTATGAGATACTGAGTGAGATTAATGAGGGAGGAAAAAGAATTTCAACAACTGTAGAATCAGGCTGCAGCATGACAAAAGTGAAGGGGGTCTGAATACTTTCTGAATGTACTACAGCTGCTTCCAGTGTTACAAGCCTGTACTTTGACTACTGAAAGATTTATTTAATTTATTTAGTTCCACCACTCAGGGTTCTTAGCAGTTTCTTCTTAGCTGTCCTGACTCCTCAATTCTTACACATTTTAATTCAAAAATAAGCACCACTTAATATCATTAGACATATGAAACAAAACATATGTGTGTTTTGTGTGTGCATATATGCATGTGTGTAAAAATTGTTAAGTGAAAATAATGGGCATCTATAGAGGTAATCCTTGAGTTATGGTTTCTTCGTGCCTGTTCAAAGTTACAATATTAACACACACACTCCATCCTCGTCTTAGACTTCAACTGGGCCCTTGTAAATAAGATAGTGACACCACTATCTTAGTTCCTTCTTGACTCTGGTTTTTTGAGTCCAATCTTCAGTGAGCAGAAAATCTGTAGCACTTTGTCACAGGTTCCTTTATGTGTACACAAGTTAGTGAGCTCCAAAATTCCAAGAGAGCCAATCCAACCCCACCAGGCCTCTGGGCAACACACCCATGAATATTCAAAGGCTAGTACTCACAGTTTACTATACCACTCTCCCCCTATTCTACTACAACTTCTGTTCTTCCACTACTTCTCTTTCTGAGCCTCATTTCTGGAGAAAAGTACATCTTCTATTTGTCTAGGCTGTTGCAGGCTGTTTAAGTTTCCCCAAACTAACACAAATCACCTTCCCTCACATTAAAACCAGGCAACCCCCAGCTGCCTCTCTACCCAGCTTTTATCGACACACATTGCTGGGCCGGTTAGGGAGAAGTCTTAAAAAGGCAGGGCATTTTGCAGGCAGTCTGACTTCTCATAATCCCTTAAACTGGTCCCTGGCTTTTGTCGCCAAATAACTCCCTTTAATTTGGTTGGATGCCTGGTGACTATGGAGATATAAAGTCCATTCCAAAAAGAAAGCCTTATTGTTTTGATCTTGAAACTTTTCTTCATCTTTCCTTGAGGTTAATGAGAATGGCCACAGACACTTGGTGCATACAGAATGGCTTTCATTTCTTTCCTAGCAGGGAAAGATTAATTTTGGTAGTCCTAGAAAGTCCAGCCAAAATACACAGATTAATCAGGAGCTTCACTTTTATGAGGTACCTTTCTCTGTTCCATTCCTCCTGTGTCATTTTCCTCCAGATCTAGATTTCCACACTTTCTTGACTGCTAAATGGAAACATTGAATTTGAGAAGGGGAGAGGGTCAAAGATTTTGGATTAATTGATATCATATTTGTCATTGTGTGTGTTTTGAATTTTCAAAGCAGTATTAATCTTGTGTCAAAGTAGGCACTAATATGCTGTATTTATTTATCAAGCTTAACCTATTACTTTTCAGCCTAGGGCTTTGACATAGTCAAATAAATGTAAAATAAAATAAAATAAAATGTGACAGCCTTTGTTTGGTCAGATCCTGTCAGTTAAGTAGGTAGCTAAGAACAAAAAGAGAATTTTATTGTAATAATAATTCTATATCTCTGGAATGCAAAGTAAGCAGAGTATATCTTTCATGCACAATTTGCCAAGGTTATGGCAACAGAGGGTAGTTAGTTGCAATCTAGATATATTAAATTAGGGTGAATTAGATCCAAATAAAACAAAAGAATTGTGAATTGTAAAACGGCTTCAATTTTGTTAAATCAAGGAAATATAAATAGTGATTTTGAGTATTCTTCATATGATAATCATATGTTTCTGTTTTTGTTCAAGTTTCAATTATATTCGGGAGGGTCCTAATTCTTTAATACGTTTACTAGCTGTCAAGGAGCTATGGCCAAGTTGTTACTGTAAAACATCTCCATATAAAATGTTTACTCTAGGTTGGCATTCTTACAGTACAGTTCTTTGATGTAAGAATTCTTTCTAAGGGCTATTGTCAAATACTTGGTGATTGAGGCAAGCAGCCGGGATGAC